AGACTTGAAATGTTTCCTATATCACCAAACTAACCAAACATTTCACACAGTGTTGTTTACTAGTGGTGTGATGAGGATATGCCGACACCAGATCCACGATTGTTCTCTACATCTAAAATCTGCCCTCAACCATCTATAGGATGTAAATACTGATTTATTTATGAATCTGTTTTTAGGTTAGTCAGGAGTCGTTTTGCCGGAAAAACGTAAAAAACGACAGTCACTTACATTCTAAAAAAGTCCACGGCGTTCTATTGGCATTTTGACGACAACCTGGCGTTCGTAGGTAAAATCAAAACTTTAAATTAAAACGAAAACTTCAAAACACTTAGACGCACCGACGCAGCTGCATACGTAACCACAAAGTTGATGACCGGCGCCGGTGCCCGTGTTTACAATGACGTTTTGGTTGCTAGTGTCGCGAGCTCCCGAGAGATGGCGCACTGTAATCACGTCTGAACTACACTATCTAAAGAACACGCCAAGGTAGACCGTAGTGTGGACATCACACTTGACCATGGTTGAGTCGTTGTCCATGGTCAACCGAGTGCAGAGTATCATGGCTGGGGAGATGGGCATAGGTCATCACCATGGTCTAGGCAATGTCCATGATTAAAATCTTGGTTTCCCATGGTCAAAATCTCAATTTGACCATGACAATCATGGTTTTTTTACCCTGGGAGGTATCCCCAAGATACCCCTCAAAATAGGTACGGGGTTAGGTACCACCAAGATACCCCTCAAAATAGGTAAGGTTATGTTAGGCACCTCCAAGATACCCCCCAAAAATAGGTACGGGGTTAGGTACTCCCTATTGTAGGGTCTAGACAACCCTTTCGGGTACACCACTGAAACCCAATGGGGATGCTCCTACCTGTATTGCAATTAATTTTAATCTCAGAGAAATAAGTGGACCACTAATTCTGTTGACGAATGTCTTAAAAGTATTTTGACTTACCTCTTTTCCTCTTTTTCAGATTCCTGTAAACAATAAGGTGGAGTGAAAATCTGGGATCGAAAAAGTCGACTCCGTTTCAAGTACTTGAAGATATCCTAAGAACAGCTGCCGGGGCCATTTTGGCCCATCGGCACCCCTTCCACCCCCTGGGAACGGTCAAAGTTGGGTCTATGAGGCAAAATTGACACTTTTGGACCCCTGGGGACCGGACTAGGCGTTGCCCAGGAGACGGCTATCTCGGTTTCGGTGCGGAATGTATCTGGGAAGATGACCGCGAAGTCCCTGGGCTGTGCGACAAGATTAAAGTGAAGCCCCGTCGATTTTTGTGGTGAAAAACGGCAGTTTTTGACCAAAAATGTCTGTTTTGGGCAATATCTCGGAAAATATTGGTCTCAGCGCAAAAAGTCCTTAATGAAATCGTCTCGGCTCGTCGAAAGCTATTCGGACACGTAGTCCTC